CACACACACACACACACACACACACACACACACACACACACACACACACACACACACACACAGCATCAGTTATTCTCATTGAGGAAAGCTTCTTTTTTTTCACTTCTAACCAATTGTAAGTTTGATTCCCASCTGCGGCCTTTCGTCTGAAAACTTTTTCAGTTTTTCAGCAGCAGGCGGCATTTTTTACTGTAYGTAATATCTCACTTGAAATAGATTGTGGTTTTTCCCAGTGTCAACGTCAAGTAGTATTGTGACAATGCATCATCAGCCACATGTGTGACTGTAAAAACTTTCCGCCCATCTCAGAAACATGCACATCCACCACCTGATCATCACTTCTCTCTCTGCCCAGCCAGGATGAATTTTGTCAGTAAACAGACAGAGCTTTTTCTGTCCACACGTGAAACACGTGTCAGTGGAAAACAAGTGTTTTTTTTTTTTTTTACAAGAAGTCTGGTATCTTCTTAAAGTTATCTTCTATATGGTAGATATGGCACCTCTTAGGAAGTGTGTGCAGATTTTTCCAGCCATTCAAAAGCTGAATTTGTTACATCAAAGWAATGAAACCATGTGATAATGACTCATTTTGGTCTTATTATTCACCATGGTGTCATTCAGTCTCGTCTCATGTTAATGTTTGTCTTTAATTATAAAAAAGCTCTGAACTCAACCTTGAAGCAGCAGAACAGAGTCCTATCAGGGTTTATTTTACTTCATATGCAAGGTATCTGATTACAGGCTTCTTGAAGAGGTTATCAACAACTATTCAGCTTATTTCTGGAGGAAACACAGTCACTTACATGTTTACAGCCCAATAAGAGTCTATTGAACTTCGTAAACCCTATCAAAGACATGCTTCAGTGTCAGAAAAACAGATAATGCAGTCTTTATGAACTCAGAGACTTGAAAATGTGTTTATTCCACTGCAGCTTCACTACTCTCCTGGCTCAGATATTATGTGGCATCTACAGAAGAATAAACTGTCACATTAAAAACTCTTATTAATTATAAACGTGTCTTTGTTTTTGAAMGTGGTTTTGTGTCGTAAAAGCCACAAACGCAAATTCCCAAGGAAAGTCTGCGCTCTCATGATCTCTGTGCGGACTGCAGAGAGAAGATGCGCTGTTTTAGAACATGTTGACGCAATAAATCCATGACGGATTATAGGTAAACCTTTYTTAGTTTCTGGGTAAACTCCTCCTTCCACTTTTTTTTCTCTTTTCTTCACCCCCCTCGTGTCTAAACCCCCCTCCCTCTCTTGTCTCCAAGCTGAAAACGGGAACAGAGTAAAATATGTGGAGTCCCTCCCAGACTCTTCRCCGCTGCGCTGCTTCACGAGGAGCCTTCACTCCTCTGGACATGCTGGGCTGGAACATTTAGTTCAGATGAACCTCTTCGTGTTTGCAGGACCACCGGTCCAGCTGCGGTGACGGTGCGGACTTTCCGGAGGTGATTGCGCGAACGGTTTTGGAGACAATCAACCTCACCTGACGCAGACGGCTGAGCCAATCTGCTCCGCCTCTCTTCTGTGTGCTGACTGGTTGGGACAATTACAGTTTTAATGTGGTTTTAAAGCAGGAAGAAGTGGTGTGGGCTGGGTTAAAGTGGCACTTATAAAGAGGCGCTTGTTGGGTTGTTTTTTTTTTTTTTTTTTTGCGCGCTTCACCCGCAGCCAGGCTGGAAAAGACGCACAGAAAGAAACAAGTAGTTTCAGAGGCGATTTTCTTTAAGACACTACAGAAACTTTTTTTCCCCTTCTTTCCACTCAAGTGGGAACTATGGGTGCAGGGGTGGACAGGTTATTCAGGTCCKTGCTGCTGCTGCTGCCAGTCTTGGGGCTGTGTGAAGCTCTGCCAGAGAGCTGGCTGCCAGGAAACTACAGCAGCTCTGATGCGCTCAGGTTCCTCAGCGACTACAACAGCACTGCTGAGGAGGTCTTCTTCCACAGCGTGTCTGCCAGCTGGAATTACAACACCAACCTGACAGAACACAACTCCCAGCTGCAGGTAGGACCTCCATCTGATTCCCAGTGAAAATCTGTCACATTTAGCTTCAAACAATTGTTTGAAAAACTGAATTTTTCTAAAGTCACTTTAGACACATGAGATAAATCTAGATGTTATATTTAAATGCTAAATATTAAAATTAAACGTTAAAAATAAATGATAAAAGTAGTCAAATGCTGAAATGTTAAAGTTAAATTCTGAGATGTTAAAGCAAAGTGCTAAATGTTAAAACTAGTGCTAAAGTTTTAAAGCTAAAATGGTAAATTTACATTCTAATTGTTAAATCTAAATGCTATTCACAAAGTTAAAGTTAAACGCTAAACGTTAAAGCTATGCTAAACGATAAAGCTAAATGGTAAACATAAATGCTGAAATGTTAAGACTAAATGGTAAAATGCTAAAGCTAAAATGTTAAATCTACATATAAACACAAAGCTAAATGCAAATCTATCGAACGTTAAATCTAAATTCTGAATCTAAAGCTAAATGTTAAAGTTAAATGTTAAATCTAAATGCTATTCATAAAGCCAAAGTTAAATGCTAAATGTTAAATCTAAATTTTAAATATAAACCTAAATGTTAAAGGTAAATGCTAAATGTTAAATCTAATGCTAGTTTTAAAGTTAAATACTAAATGTAAATCTATTGAATGTTAAATCTAAATTCTAAATATAAACCTATATGTTAAAGGTAAATGCTAAATGTTAAATCTAATGCTAGTTTTAAAGTTAAATACTAAATGTATATCCATTGAATGTTAAATCTAAATTCTAAATATAAACCTATATGCTAAAGTTAAATGCTAAATGTTAAATTTAATGCTAAATTTAAAGTTAAATACTGAATGTAAATCTATTGAATGTTAAATCTAAATTCTAAATATAAACCTATATGTTAAAGTTAAATGCTAAATGTTAAATCTAATGCTAAACTTAGTTAAATACTAAATGTAATGTTATCAAATATTAAATCTAAATCCTAAATGTAAAGCTAAATGTTGAAGTTAAAGAGTACCTATCATGGTTCCTTGAACAAGTTAGGATACATCTGTGGGCTATACAAAACATGTTCATTAGATTTAATACATAAAATAATTTTTAGATGAGATTTCACTTGGTCAGTTCTACCTGTTCTGAGCTCCCTTCACAACAAACTGTTTATGCAAATAAATGCCCTCCCAACCTTTTGTTTTTGTCAGCTCCACCCTCCCAAGATGGCTTATTAGCACTTCAGATACATGAAAATGGCTAGTATAAGCAGATACACAATAGTACAACAGTAGTAAAACAGGCTGTGCACATTGTAGCCACGCCAGGCGAGGGCTTGGTGCGGACAGACTGGAGAGTCCGACCGAAGTCAGATGCCTTGGGGCCGGGAGGCCAACGTGCGTCTGTTGCAGCTTCCCAAGGCTGGCATGGTAAAGTGGGGAAGGCGGTCTATGCAGCAACAGCACAATTTGTAGTATAATTTGCGCTAAATGACAAATTATGTTCATGTCAACCAGCACTAAACATACGAGACATCACATCGCCATCATCTGCAGATTTGGAACCGTACGGACAGGAAAGTTCCTTCAGCTGAAAGTCTTTGGACAGCTCATTTTCTGACACTTAAAAAACATTTAAAAATTGCCAAAAAAAATGGCTGGGAGTATTATGTTGGCCCTTGGACTATTTCTGGAAGCAGTACAAACACAAATTGAAGAAAAACAAGAAAAACATGGAAAAAATGTGAATTTTGCACAATAGGTTCCCTTTTAAATGCTAAATGTTAAAGGTAAACTCTAAACATAAAGCTAAGTATAAAGCTAGCTGTCAAATGTTAAACTCAAATTGTAAATATAAAGCTAAATATTAAATGTAAAAGTTAAATATTTTACTGAAACTAACAGGGGTGTAGCACCAAATTCTGGGCCCTGTACACTCTCGATGTCAGTGGGCCTCTATCCATGCCAGTGCACGAGGTGCATAAGCAAAAACAGAAAAAAGGGGGTATTCTTTTAAATAAAGAGGTGTAACTAGGGTTTAAAGCTACAAACAGATCAGATTATATTGATGAGTGGTTCTTTCATTCACCAGCTGAATTGATGCATTTGGCCCACCTGTGTTCAAATACCTAAAACATTTTGCTACACCTGGTTTGTGTACTAATGTTGTGATCTATGACACTCGAACAAATTTTGATTTAAAAACATTTATTCTTGAATTTAGACAAACATTTGGTACATGACATGTGCTCAATTTAACTATCTTCACACATCATAAACTGAACACCAAATGTTTCTGTTGTGATGCAATAATATTCAAACCATATTAACTGAGATTATGTTCACCTTTATAAAAGCATGTTTTGTRTCACCTCTTTAAACTCACTATTCTTAGTGAGTTTACTGTACTTACTGGATTCTTACAGTTTGATAATCAGCCATAGTTTCATACAGAGATACAGGTGGAGCTCTACAGGTGTGTTTATCCTCTCTAACAGGGGCGTCACAAGGCTTGTAAATGTGTGTAAAGGACACACCTGGAGGGGGTTCTGGGGGTCCTCCCCCAGACATTTTTGAATAAAGTAGAGACTATATCCTGATTTCTAATGTATTTTAACAGGTTTTTAAAGATACTTTTACTTACACAAATAAAGACTTAATTAGAGACAACTTGAGACAAATTCTTCATTAAACTAGTTGCATCGTCCCGTTTTTAAACTCACTTATGGCTCAGGTAATTCATTTAATGTGATAATTTATCCCAAATAGGCTTAGAGGAGTTTTTTACATTTATTTTGTTTATTATTCATTTAATTTTATTTATAACACAACATTTTGTGCCAAACAATGACACACAACTGCATCATGTTTCAAACTAAAAACGTTAAAAGCTTTACCCGGTGAACAGGTGTAATTATGATTTGATGACAGGCCCACTCATAAACTGACATGACATCATGCAGCTTTCTTCACAACATAAAATAACCCTGTGCCAAACAACAGTGACGTAAAAATAACCAACCTGCAATTAGGAACGATTGATACATGGATGTTTGTAACTGATTAGAAAGCTAATGATGGATGAACTGACAGATTTATTTACTGACCTTTATTTAAACAGGAAAATCTGAACTATGAAAACTAATTTCTACAACTTCCTAGAAATGAAAGTAATAAGCACTTTTATACTGGTCAAAAATAAAATAAAGCCGTTAATCATGCTGTAGATCAGTAATTTATTTCATTAAGTTCACACAACTGACTAGAACGTATTCAAAATAATATTTTCTATTTCCTTCACACCTGCCCATCAACTCATCTCTTACCTGAGACACTCTGTCCTACCTGCTGCCCCTGACTCTGTATCCAGCTCCTAGAGATAGATTAAGTATTAGGTATTTTACTGCCATGGTGCTACCTGAAGTCAGTCCGCTTTAAAAACTCAAGAAAATATCATGAAATAATATGAATAAATACCAGATCACTATTTTTTCTTTGCATCATTTCACTGTTATTAAAAAGGAAAGGTTTTCTGACCATGAAGCTCTGCTTTTATGCAGAAAACACAGAAACTCGAAGAAACTTAAACTTTTTTAATGTGATGAATTTATTCTTGCTAAGATAATAAAAATGTACTACTATAATATTTATAAGCTTTACTAT